CAACTAACATGAGTTGTCGCTCGAGTAGGTGGTGGTGAAGATTGGTGATGATGTCTTTGAGGTGCATGGTAAGAACACAAGGGTCCCTGACTGCCTCCAGTTGGAACCGAATGCCATTGCACAAAATGAAAGGCACTTAACCTCTTCTTCATACTCCTTGTTCTCTCTCAGGTGGAGTTGAAGAACCTCTACCGTACTGGTTCAATGGCGAGCAGGGAGCTTTCCACAGGAGCAAAGCGTTCCCGTTCACAGTTGGAGGTTTCTCGGGACGTTTCCGACACAGAAAAGACAGCGTGGTTCACTACAAGCTCTTCCTCCCCAATGACCAGGTGCTCCGCATCCAGTCCAACAAGTTCATGCTGGGAGTCGAATTCGAAAACGCGCTCTCTGACGACTTTGGCACCAGCCAAGGTTTGCTCGGAAGGTTTGGAGATGGTGCAATGTTGGGTCGGAATGGCACTGTCTTTGACCTATCGGATACCAATGCTTTTGGCCAAGAATGGCAGGTTTTGGAGACAGAGCCCATGCTCTTTTCAGAACGTCATGGTCCCCAGCACCCTCAGAAGTGTGAAATGCCTGATAAAGATAAACCTTCATCCGCGGCACGCCGTTTGCTTGGCTCCTCCATCAGCCGCAAGAAAGCCGAAGCCGCCTGTGCCAAAGTAGACCCCAATTCGTTCAACGATTGCGTTTCGGATGTGCTCACCCTGGATGACGTTGATCTCGCCGCGGGATACGTGGAGTAAGAAGGCGCGTAACGCCCCGAAGCATCATTATGCTCTCTTGAGCAGGTTCTGGGGGAGGGATGGTCGCTCTCGTGAGGAGAAACCTTATCAATGGGTTGGTTTGTATGGTACCGGTACCGGCGTGCTATGCCAACCGATCGGTTCAGCTCGAGTGCAGAATGGTGGAGATAATTAATTAAGTACATGAAATAGTTTTTGTTGAAGAGAAGTACATGAAATAGTATTACGCCAATGATTCCCGAGTAATTGAAGTGCGCTCCAAGCAGATGGCTTTACGATCACTGTTACCAGGAGGGGTTGATGTGTTTCCGGTGTGTGTGTGTAGGTGTGTGTACGTGAGTGTTGTGTGAGATGTGTGATGTTGTGTAAGATGTGTGTAGACACTACTAAGAGTTAATCTACGACGAATCTACCATTGGATGTTTATCCATGGGGTATACCATTGCTTGCTGATTTCCAAATTCTGAGCTTAAGAATTTCGCTGTTTGCTTCATCAGTGGAGCAAGCTGGGGATGGCAAAAGATACAAGCCGGGTAGGCTGTGAGAAAAGCAAGGGTACCCTGTTTTTGTGGTGATTTCGAAATAGACACATAGAGCTGGTACGGTATAGACCGAAACCAAGCTAAACTAAACCGTAAATCCAATACCTCGATGGGCTGGATGTGTGTGTGTGTGTGTGTTGTGTGTGTGTGTGTGTGTGTGTCGCGTACATATGGTGCGTTTCCCTAGTAAGATTAAGGCTATCAAAGCGAACACGTACATATGGTGCGGTTTCCCTAGTAAGATTAAGGCTATCAAAGCGAACACGTACATATGGTGCGGTTTCCCTAGTAAGATTAAAGCTATCAAAGCGACTGATTAGCCTTGGATTTAAGAAACATCCAAAAAAAATGAAACCTTTGCCTTTAGATAAATGCTAGTTGAGGGCACTAGCCTACGGCTGTCTGTTCTTAGCCAACCAACTTCCTACAATGACTATCAACTGACAGAAGCACCTGCACTCTTCTTCGTTGCAGCAGATGCAGCCCATCCGGTTTTGAAACCTGGGAGACAAGAGCTTCTCCCAAGCCAACTCGGTGCTGTTCTGTTCGGCTACACTCTTGTTTTCGTTCTGGATGAAGAGCTTTTGCTAGCTCCCTAGATGTACCAAACATTTTTGCTTTTTTTTATATATTTCTTATTGGAGACGTAAAAATCAAGAACACACCTAAAAGACATTGCGTTTCTGGTCGGCTTGCATGTCAGCTCTTGGTCGGGAGAAAATTGGGAAGATGGGAAAATGGATGAAAGAAGGATTGAAGATCAGAACTAGCATTCCAAAATGGATGAAAACACTGGAGTTGGATCGTCAAGGTCATCGGCTCTCTCTGTCACTTCCGCGTATTCGGACTCTTCGCACTCTTCGTAGAGGACCTTGTAGTTCTGCTGATACTGCTTCACCATTTCCTCGCCCTTAAGCTCCCACTCCTTGCGGTTGATGATGGCATAGTTCAAAAATTCATCACTAGACACGCCAAAAACACCACAGGTGAAGAGCTTCTTCGCAAGTGGAATGATGTAGAAATCAAAGAAACCAAGCTCTCCTCGATACCATCCTTCGGAAGGATCTTTCTCTAGACGGCCAGCCTTGTAGGCCTTGTACATTTCTGATCACAATCAAACAAGATACCTGAGTTATTTCTGGCCTGAAATTTGCATGCCAAACTAAAATGCACTGTTCTCACCTTGAAAGAGGCGTTCGTTCCATTTCATGTAAATGTGCCAATGCTGCATCGTGTGACTAACGTCACTTGCCTGGCGGTTGGTGTGACAGGAAGACAAGTTAGAGTCCTACTCAAACAAGTCTTTCACGTGGATTACGCCAAAGGGGAAAACATACCTGAATGAGATGCTCGATCACAATCGTTGCCTTGCGGTTGACAGCTTGCAAGTCGTCTTCTCCCTCGGAAGGATCTTCTTCGCCAATGAAAGCCTTATTCCAACGAGCTTTTCGAGCCGCACCAAGCTGCTTGTCAACAATGTCAGTGGCCATGACGGACTAAACAGAACGGCGAGGCAACATGTGAGCTAATGGATCACTCAGGAGACGAAAGCCATTCTGGACGAGACAACACTTACATTGACGACCAACTGGCGGAAGCGCCTGAACTCTTCTTCGTTGCAGCAGATGCAGCCCATCAGGTTTTGAAACCTGGGAGACAAGAGCTTCTCCCACGCCAATTCGACGCTGTTCTGTTCTGCGACACTCTTGTTTTCGTATTTCTGCGCAATGGGAGACTTTTCGTTGACCAGAGTCATGTTGGGGACACCTTGGTGATCCTAAAAAGTTGGCAATCAATTGCTTTGTGAGTCAATAGCCAGGTTCAGCTAAAGATGTCAGGCCTTGCACGAGTGCTTCCTTACCATATCATGGATGAGAGCCGAAAATGCACAGGAAAACAGACTGAGGGGGTCCGAGGTTATGCCGAAAGAAGTGTCGTGGAGTTTGGCTTCCATTTCCTTGAAATTGGCTGCCTCTTTCTTCTTCAGAAGGATTTCTTTGGGATTCTCAATGCGACTCATCATTTTGAGAACCGACATGGTGACTGCATGGTGAAGAAATGTTGGGGTGCCGGTCAGTCGGTCAATCAACAATTACACAAACAACCCTCGAGCCGCAACTAACGTACCATGGGACGCATGGTCAAAGCTGTGAAAAGGATTATTCCTGTAGCCCATTGCAACCTCCTTGACGAACAAGGAAAGCTCTTCCACCACCTTCGAGTCCAACACAATAGAATCTGGATCTACTTGCCTTCTGATAGCATCACCATTGAATTCAGGCAACGGAATGATCTCCAGAACCTCGTCTAGTACCGTTCCTCCTTGCTTCGTAAGTTGGTCGTTTCCAACCGTACGTGCTGCCCCTCGGCGGCTGTTTCCCATCGCTTCCCTTCTTGCTACAACCTTCTTGAGTAGGGATGATAGGACTTCGACGTTCCAGTTTACAAGCCGCTGGATCCTTCCCTCACGGTCAGAGGACACGGAAGTATCATTTGTACTCAATGAAGCAGCTGCTTCCTGGGCGGAACTTCGAGAGCCAGCAGTGACCTTCAAGATGTAAGTTTGCATAAGCCCCTTTCCGCGCACAGAAATTGCGTCTTCACGGGGAGTGATCCACCTCTCACGACCACCTTCTCTCAGCAAATCGGCAGTCTCAGAAGAGCATTGGATCTTGTTCCTGATTCCAGTTGATTCCATGCGTGATGCCGTGTTCATAGCTGATGATTTGAGAAGAAATTGACACCGGATCAGTGAGCGACACCACTGAACTGAACGAGGAAACGAATAATGCATTCGAAGGAGACTTACTGTCACCAAAGAGCTGAAAGCGTCCTTTGTCGCCACGTAGAACGCCTGCAGTAACCTGTCCGCTGTGAAGCCCGATCCTTTGCCGATAAAGAGGCAGCGCTTTCAATGAGCAAGGTTGGGGACGTGGTATCCAAGACACTCGAACAAAGACCTTACCGGATACCCAGATCGCCAGTATCAGGGCCGAGTGTCTGTGGATTCAACAACCAGACTTTGGGTGAGCCATCGTTACAAAGCCGGTACATGTTTCCTACCGTACGGGCTTAGCGTACCGTTTCCAAGGCCTTCAAGAGCATCGGCAATCTCATCAGACAGTCGTTGGCAAATCGTGACATCTGGGAGTTGGCCAGAAACAGTTAGTTTTCATGCAAAGTTTCATAAGAAGGCAAGCACTGTCACGTCAGAGGAAAACTTACGACGACAGCATGGTCTTTACGTGGCTGCGGTAATCCTGAGACGGCAACCTGCATCGTCGGCATTCGAGGTTCAGCATGACATTCCTCGCTGAAACATAGATTTGGCCACTAGCTAGCAAAAGGTAGGAACTTACATAGCAGTCTCCGACTGTTTGTAGGTGACAAAAGACGCAGGTGAGCAACACGAGGGGACTAGAGAGAGAGAAAGCCTAAGGCTCGGAACCTGTTACCTGTTTCCACTTTGTATACGCGTCTTCTCTTGGCAATGTTGTCAAAACCTGGGGTACAGAAGAATCGAATAGATGAGTAAGAAGATGGTGATGGATTGAACACAAACCGTGGTAATGTTCAGACGTACAGTGGTAGACAACTTCGAGCAAGGTAAACACCTGGCTGGGCTCCCGAACACTGGACCAAGCGGTAAATCCGACCTGAGTGGCAAAGTATCCCCATCGAGTCAGTCTGAATCGAACAAAACAACAAACCTTTGACTAATCACATTGACAGCACAACCATGGACTTACAAGATCTGCAAACATAATGGTGGTGTAGGGGTGAAAGTCAGCGATAGGCTTGCAACCAAACAACCCCTCACTCGTCAACAAGTTGGACAACCCGTCTTGGCACAGGACGCCTCTGCTATCGTTCCCGTCGAACTTGAATATGTCAGAGTCAGAACCCTTTTTACCACCCCTTGGTTTGGCTCGAGTGGCATCTTGAATGAGACGGTCTCTCACGTTTTCTGGAAAGAGGCTCGTTACAATAGCTGCTTCGGCCGCAGCCTTGGACATGACACGATGAATCTGGATGGAACGATACATGTTTGTCAGCATCCAAAGAGCCAGACCGAGGGAAGCTGAAAAGATCAAGACACCAGTAACAATGATGGTGACCAAGGATGGTTCGTAGGCGTCATCGATGGGAACAACATAGATCGTCCAGACCCTGGATGCGAATTCGATGTCTTCCTCGTAGAGGCGATCCTTTCCTGTAATCTCGTCCAAAGTGATACGGTCGGGAAAGTACTCTAACTCTCTGTCTCCGTTGGCATCGACCACGACATGCATACCTCCAAGGAACATCATGTCTTCAGACCTATCAAAGAGGTACACACCAAGGCTTTCGGTCTGGAATCGTACAGATCTTTCCAGGAGAGCTTTGATCTGAATCAACATATTGGAAAGATCTTTGGGCTTTGTACCCTCAACGGGAACACCTGGATGGTACAGGACGGTGGTGAAACTTTCCTGCTCACCGCTGGCCACAATCTTGAACCCGGGCGTCGCCACCGGCTTCCATGTCTCTAGCGCCAGATTGACAGAGGGCTGTTCCCAAGGAGCGCTGTAGACATCATAGTGGTAGAGCCCTTTCACGGTTTCAATGGGCTCGAAGAACTGAATAGGGAAGTAGAAGGGCTTTTCTTCTCGGGAGACAATTGTCATGGAAGCAGGGTCTTCGGGAAGGAGTCCCCTAATTCCAGTGTAATTGAAATCTGGGACTCCTTCGTAGGGTTTGTCTCGAAAGAAAGCTGCTGCTCTCTCCTCGACGGCAGGACGCTCTTCCGCAGTGACATTGGGGCACCTGCAAGACAAATGACAAAGAAAGTTTTCCAGGTTAGCCACGAGCAGAAGTTCAAAAAGCAAAAAGATACACACTGTATACGCACCATTCCATGGCGTAGAAATCCAACCCACCGCCGTAGGCGGCAATGGAATCGTGGAGGTCACGAAAGTCTTTGTAAGCAAAGTCGTATTCCCTCCAGTGCTTGCAAGCCTGGTGGATCCAAGAGCAAGCATTTTCGTAGTCATTCATGGCACCCTGAACGCCCTCGGCCAAATCAGTAGATCGCTTCTGGAAGCTTTCATCCTTTGTTTCCTTCTCATTCGAAATCCCCATATAGAGGAAGGAAGCGCTTGCAACGGCACCGACAATAACAACCAACAAGGCAGCCCAAGTGGTCCTCTTCGTGGTCTTCTCAATGTCCAACGAGTGCCTCTGGATGCTATCATCCACACTGCCATTGGATTCGGCAGATTCCATAGTATGTTCGTCATCGTGGTTTTCGTCTTCCCACGCCTTGGCAGCGTCCGATTTACGAGTACCACCCTTGCTCGTGGCAGAGCCCATTGTACTTGCAGCAGCGCCCATTGTCTCTTTTTCTTTCTTTTATTAGACTAGTTCTTCGAATTCAGATTTCGAGTAACTCAATTTGTGAGCTTTGTGACCGAAGCTCAAAACGCCGCTGCCGGCAGCGGGTACCATGATACGTTACCCGTGTCCTCCCGCATACCGCTATCTTTAGAGCCCTATATGCATGAGCTTCGCATGTCAATCCATATTCCAATTTCTGCACAGAATTTTGGGAGCACTTGCCATGACACTTTCTGACGAACCTCATTCTCCCCCACATAAACATTATATCTTCAAGTCATGATTAGGAAAATGTAACAAAACGTTGTAGAAAGCTTCTTTTCAGGGACATAGTTGTGTGCAAATTAATGCTTGGCTTTCCTTTCTGATGAATGTGGATTATTTTTTGATTCAACTCGGGCACTTAAGTCATGCATGATACATCATTTATGATTTATTTATTTCTTGAATGTCTTGGACATTTGGGTTATTAGTAGTATCATATCCTTAATGCTTGCATCAGGATAGTGCCCGCAGCAGTCATGCGCGAAGTCAAAAAGACATTTATTTGTTTGGTGTTTTAGGGACTACACGTAGTGTTGGAAAGTTTCGTCGTGAGTTCCGTACGGTGCAAGAGAGTTTCTGTGCAGGTGAAGTTCAAGTTCCCTGAATCTCGACGAACTTCTTATTAACTTCTTACTCCGAGAGTCTCCGAGTTCGTATTACGTATTACTGACCCAGATTTACAAATATATTTCAAGCTGCGCTGATACACCGTACTAGTACACGTAGCCGAAAGTTGCATCCCGATTGGATCACACATGTATCATAGCTCCCTTGGGTGTGTGTTGCTCGGGTCTGCTCTACCGGTACTGAGTAGTGGGAGTCATCTAGACTACTAGCTAGTCTAGTCACGTCTAGTGTCGTTCTGGGGAACAACCCCTTATTGCCAACCCAGAAGTCGGTGAAGGCTTGGTTGATAAAGGTTCTTCTTCTTATGCATTGGGCAGCAAAGCGACACGACCCCTCTCTACTAGTAGCAGATAGGACGCATCCGATCTGCATATCTTGCTTCCACTGTCTTGGTGAGAACATGCATGTTTTTCCGATCTCAGAATTGGCTTTCGGAAGTAGTAGACTCGGAAGAGGCATTGCTCAGTTTTAAAGAAAGGCCCTGCATCCAACCCATGCATGTATTCCAATAATGACAACTCAAAGGTTCAAAGGTTTCCTGTACCTCATTATCATTTAGAAGCAGCAGGCGCATTACAAAAAGAAGCCACAGAAATTGTATTGCAGAGTTGCAGAGAAGCCTCAGAATCTATCTTTGGATGACTGAAACTTGTACCATCCTGTAAATACTAGATCGCTGCCCGTGTACACGAATGGACCAGACCCATCCACTCGTTAGTCTGAGAAGTGTCTGAGGAGAGCTCGAGCCAACAAAAAGATGACAATGGTTCGTCTTGGCGAGATCCCACGCATCCCCTCGCTGCTGCGCTGGGGTGTTTGTATTTCTAATCTATGTCCATCACGTACTGCAGGCTTAGATGGACACCAAATCGATTCCCACACCCCGAAGACATGGGACGTGGGACCACACCAAACCTCTCTCCTGTGCTAGCCAGACTAAGTACCAGTACTGACTGACCACAAAGCTACATAGAACGCCTTTAGAAAGAAAGGACGCAACCAAATAGCGGTCAATGACCAGAAGCATATCCAGGATAATCCTATTCCTTTGGCTGCACATGCGTCTAAGCTGGCTGGATAGTTGGTGGCTGTCTAGTAGAATGTAGCCAGCAGCTAGCTAGTACCGGTGCTATCCAGTATGCCGCAAGCTGCGTTATCACTGCCCAGTTCCTGCCTCCGAGTCACCAAGCCAAGCAATGACCGGCTCGAAGGAGCGATGTTGAACTTCGCTCCTTGATCTAGCTAGTAGCAATGAGTCGCCTCTGGAGTTACCCAATTCACCCCCCTATCCGCAACCCATGCGTTCCGAAGCAAGCAATCTCTCGCTCGTGTCTCTTGCCTCCCTGAAGGCCAGCCCAGCCATTCCTGTCTGGTGCTACTACTGGATAGAACCTAAACCTTCACTTCTTGATCATAGCGACTGAGACTCGTCTCCAAGCCTGGTATCTCCGCCTGGTCTGCTCTTGCAACAATTGATGCTGGCCTGGCTGGCTGGTTGTCGTCTGGAAGCCGCCTTTCCGTCGCTTGTCTGTAGGGGGCAGCCAAAGACGGCCAGACAAGATCAAAGACAGCTATCGTCCTCCTAGCCAGCCAGCCAGCCAGCCAGCCAGCCAGCTTGCCAGCCAGCTTGCCAGCCAGCCAGCAGCCTCTCCCTTAGCTGATGCAAGATCGATGCAAGGCAGTCCCGGTACATCATTGTCTGGTGTTACTGTTGGAATGCAAAGATAAAGATTATGATAATTGGTGATTAACTATGCTGTTCATGACATTCTGTAGTCTTGTTTGCGCTGGTCGGGCTCTCTCTGAGCCAATGATCTAGCCCTGCTTCCAGGACAGGACTGGGTTGGACTCATGACTGTGAGTCCTTAGTGTGATGACTTCTCATTCACAACACCCCCCATGATCTGCCGGTCATCATCGCTGAATGCGGCAGCACACTTGTTGATCCCATTCTCATTATTGTTGAGTGTTGGTCTATTTCTGCGAGCCATGATGGATCCTCTCACCGTTTCGAAGTGCTGAGCATCCTTCATTTCCTTAGTGAAGATGTCGGCTGCGTTCAGCTTGCCAGGAATGTGGCCAATTTGAACTTTGCCACTCCATTGGGCATCTCGACATGCGACTTCTCTAATATTGAGGTGTCGCAGCTTCTTGGTGATTGCGTCGGAAGCGGTCCACTGAACGCTGCCTTTATTGTCATTGAACAGGAGAGCGGTCGGTTTGGCGATGTGCGATGCTCCGAGGTCGCTGAAAACATTGCGTAACGCTTCGATCATTTTGCAACCTTCGTCCATTCCTTTGATTTCGGCTTCACAAGAACTTCGGCTAGTCTTCTTCTCTCGACATGCCGACCAGTCCAACGGTCCACCCATGTACACGACAATGGCACCAAGAATAGACCTGACTTCTTCCTTGCGTCGCATTTCGCCTTCCAAGGGAGCCGAGGCATCTTGCGGGCCCCAGTTGCTGTCGGTGTAGCCATCCATTCTGTCGAAGCATCCGATCACCGGACCGCCATCTGTTGGCCATGCGACTTCACCACGCATGCAGTTGGCCGGGTCAAATTCGGGTGTGGATTTGGGAGGTTGTGTATATTGGATTCCCCAATCGGCGGTACCTTTGAGATATTTGAGCACGTGCTTGGCAGCTTCGAGGTGTCCGTCGGATGGATTCTTGAGGTGGCTCGACAGTAGGCTGGTTGCCGTGGTTATGTCCAGTCTGGTGTTCTGGCTGGCCCAGTTCAATCCTCCTACGAGCCAGGAGAATTCCTTGGTGAGCACTTTCTTCTGTGATGGTTCGACTCCACCGTGTGGGATGCGGTCAATGGGTAATCCAGACTGATACGGTGTCCTGACTGCATTTGCTTCCAGCATCCCATGTTGATCAAGGAGTTTGTGGATGTACCCTTCCTGTGAGAGGTGTACTGTGAGCCAACCATCGCTGGTCCTTCCCCATTCATAATACACTCCCAAGTACCAGGTGAGATCTCCCATGAAGTCGATGTGAAGTTGTTGACCGAGTACCTTCTCAAACCATTCCTCTGTTTGGTCATCCATGCCCCAGTACAGGCAATCGTCTACATAGGCTCCGAAATAGATGGTTCCTCCTGTTGGGGAGTTGCCTACAAACAAAGCTGGGTCGTTGGGGCATTTCTTGAGCCCCATGCCCTCCAGTACCTTTCGAAAGGTTTGGTACCAGTGTCGAGGACTTCGTCGCAGACCATACAGGGTCTTATTCAATCTCCAGAAGTCTCCGGGTTTGGAGTATGGGCACCCTTTTGGTGGCATTACGACCACAATCTCATCATCTGGTAGGTAGGGGTGGCAGAATGCGTTCTTGGCATCACATTGTTTGGTCTTGCGGCCATGTGCAATTCCCAGAGCAACGAGAGCTCTTTGGCTGTGTCGCATGATCACTGGTGCGTATAGCTCATTCTTTTGCCATACTCTCTCTTCTTCATTTCCCATTACGACATTGCGAGATTTGGCTCTGACTGGGAGTCCGTCTGAGTCTGTCTTGATGGTAAGGATGTTCATAGTGGGAATGGGTTTCACTCCAAGTCGTTTGACTTCTGCCTCATCTATCACGGTGTATGTGTCCAATCGCTTGATCCCTTTGTATTCCTCGCGGTAAGAGTCTAACCATATGCCATAATCTGGACTGGAAGGATCCTGGAGAGCACGCCAAAGAAATTGTGGAATTCCCCCTGTCAACTCCCGAGCTGAGACATGGAGTGCTTGAGGGGTTGGCTGTGGTGACGACATGGGAAGGTCTGTTGTCCAGCTGACTTCCAGCAAGCCTTCCAGAAGGTAATGTCTCCAGTAGACATCCAGATCCGGGATAGGGACTTTGTTGATAAGGCGCCCCCCTCGATCACGCTGGCGGAAACACCAGGCATAGCCGTCTGTGTGTTCCAAGTAACCATGCAGCATCTCCCCGTTGTGGTGAAAGCGGACGTGGCAGTGTTGAACCAGCCAGTCAGGACGGATAGGGCGCGTTGGATCACTATTGTCGGGATCCGTGATCAGTTCCAGTCCAGCAAGGGCGTCATCTGGTTCCCAGATTTCAGTGGCATCGAGGAGGACAGTGGTGTCGTCCTGCAGTTTCACTGTGTATTGTTGTGCACCACGCTTGACAGGCACCTCAATGACTTCTCCACTGGTGTGTAGTGGTCGGTGTTCCTGCGGAACAGGGCCTGGTAAGCGAAATGTCACAGTGCTGCCTGGAGGTGCCGAATTGCCTTGCCATGAAGCCCATGCTCACATAAGCGCAGTTCAAACCCCCCATTATTAACTAATTCAGGAAAGAGACACCGGACGTGCTTGCTCTCATCGAGGAAGTAGTCTGCCACTGTGCAGAATCGCTTCGTCTCTGGGCACCAGAAGATCATCCCGTTGGTAGTATCACTGCGTCCGAGAGCGATGCCAGGAAAGGTTTGTACTTCGAATTTGGTCCTGGATCTGCTTCCGTCAACAGGTCTGTAGAAGAAGCCGACGCTCCCAAATTTGAACAGAACTCGCATGTCTGGCTTTTGTCCATAAAAGAGTTCGAATGGAGTGGTCAATACCTGAGCGGCATCCTTGGTGAACTACGATCGGAATATTGTGAGATTAGGCTTAAAACTAGCGTTAAGACGCCACGTCACACACGTGCGTATGTCACTCTCCTCCACTGTGAGGCAACAATAGGCGCCGAGCATCAGTAACATTTAGAAAATGAATCAGGGGAACCTCAATAACCCGTACCGGTGGCAACCGGAGGTACTGGATGCTTTGGAAATACGCGCCGAATGTTCAGTCGCTCGAACTGATGAGGATCGAGCTGAATCGTCACGTTGCCATTGGTATGAACGCGGGAAACATGGTAGGGACTAGAAGCCGTAGGCTTCAACTTATCACTGAGACCGAGATACGCACGCTTGTAGACCAGGTCATCGACCGCATAGTCATAGGAAATGCGTTTAGCATTGGCCCGCAGCAAACGTTTGTTAACCAAGGATTGACGATGTCGTTGCACGGCCAGGATGTCTGCATAAATAGGAATATCAAGAAACATATCTCGTTTGAAGGCAAGAGCACCAGGAGTGAGATACGCGTTCGTACTCTGCACGGAACAACGATGAGCATGCATCGCTGTCGCCAAGGTTTCGGAAATGACCTTGATTCCATCAGCAACACTCTTGGGATCGCGCGAGACCACAATGGTTCGCAATACTTGACCAATTGCCTGATGAGTCCGTTCAATCATCGAGTTACCTTGTGGATTACGAGGGGACGAGTAGCGATGCACTGCACCATTTTCACCATCGCAATAATTCCAGTTTGAACTACGGACCGTTGTCCGTAACCACTTTCTTGGTCGAGGATACCGAGCAAACCACGTATCTTCGACCACTCCGGCACCTTCTTCCGACGTTCGCGCATATAGGCACAATCTCTAAAAAGTTTGTGCAAGGATCCACCATATCATAGCATTGAAAGTCAACGTCCGTTGTCGTAACTCAATCTTCCACGGACCGATTGTGTCACAATGGATTCTTGCCAGGGCATCGCGTAGCATCACGTGGAGCAATTCTCCATAAGCACGTCTGCTCGCTTGTTCTTTGCACATTCTTCGCACTGCTCAATTTGTTTTCGGACTTTGTCGCGAATACCTCTATGTAGAAATGTGTCTTGATCGTTGTTCTAAACGATCCATGCCTTCGACATGTGCCATGGACTTGTGATAGAAGCTGACCACTTGGGAAGCAACTCTTTTGTCAGGACAATCTTGTCCTCGTCATTCTGCGAAAGCATATCAGCTCACTGGCTGTTTCCAAACATCTTCTTGAAAAACCGTTCCGGGTTATCAACCACGGTCTGTTGCAAATCTGCACTAGCTGCTTGGTACTCCGCGAGAACCGAGAAATTGAAGGGATTCCGTCCTTCACCATCGAATGTAGGATGCTCCAAGAAAGATTCTTCCATACCGTCGTCGGGATGATGCATCAAACATTCGGCCAACCGTCGATTCTCCTCCACAATGGAATAACATCCGTCAGCAGATGTGGATAAGGGATCGGAATCGGCACTGTCACGATCTTCGCGAGAAGTGGGCACCCGGCTGAGGGCGTCACCAAGGACGTTCTGGGGGCCCGGTTTGTAATGAAAGGTTGGGCCAAACTCTTCCAACAGCAATCGCCATCTCATAACACGTTGAGTTTGAAAAGCGGAAAGTTTGTGAGTAAGGTTCTTATGATCAGTAAACACATTGATACGAGCTCCGAGTAACATAGACCGAAACTCTTTGAAGATTTCAACGATGGAGAGCAATTCCTTTTCAATGGTAGTATAGTTCTTTTGGGCGGAATTGAGCTTGCGGGAGTAGTAAGCCACAATCTGTCCGTTCTGTTTGATAGCTCCACCGAGCTGATAATCACTTGCGTCCGTATATATATTGAATTACTTATTTAGGTTAACAACCTATTGGGTCCGGAGGACCTTTTTCTACGCTGGCAATAGTTGAGCCCGAGGGCCCAAATAGCTGAGTCGTATACCATTGATGAATTGCACGATAGGAAGATTCACGGTGCACACCAAGCGTCAACACTGAAGGAGGATATGCCTCATAGTAGCACGGCTACACTATCCTATAGTCTCACCGCCGTTCACCTCCGCCCCATGAACAAGGGGCAGGTCCCTACAGCTCTACTTACAACGGAAGTGTGCATCTTCCCATCATGACCTGGAGCACGGTGGCCTAGCCAGGATTTAACCTATTAGAAGGGCGCTGATCGACAACAGTCATCATCGATCCACCTCCACCACAGGTGCGTCTGAGTGATCAGGTCCCATGCTGTGGCCATTGCCTTGTCGTGCAGGGCAAGATGCCAGCAGAGTCCATAGGCGGTGGCGCACCTAAGACTGGACCATGTCAGGGTATGACCTATCCAGTGGGCAAACAATGTCAGGCAGAAGCCGACAAAGAGCAATGCGATAGGGCCAAGTGACGCACTGGCAGGCAGTGGCTCCCAAAGGGGAGGCACAGTGTCTGCTGCGGCGGTGTGGACTGTAGGAGGGGTTGTGGGGTGGATGTTGGAGGGGTGGTTGTGGGCTGTAGATGGTATGGTGCTGGAGGGAGTTGGGTATGGTGTGTTTGCTATGTGAGGCATGATGGTGGTGTGGAGGGTGGAGTCTCCTGTGATGTTGACTGTTGGGTCGTGCTGCAACTCAAGCACAGGGAGTGCTTGTGAGGTGGTGAGGAGGATTGATTCAAAGGAATCTATTCAAGGAGGCCAATGCTCTGGGGCACTGGCAATCAGGGTATGGATCAAAGCTGTTGGGTGGAGATGGCCACTGGTTCAGAGGCTGGGTCCCAATCTAGTACAGTTACCACAAACTGCAAAAGAAGGGATCAAAGCCAAAGGCTGATAGGGTCTCTTTCAGGGAAACTCGGACGAAGTCCTGCTATAGCAGTAGAGGAGTGGTGGGGGGACTGGGAATGAAAAACTCTGCAGAACGACCCTTTTTTGAGTCCGCAGAAACACTTTTTATCTGAAGCAGGCTTGGCGTGCACTTGCAGAGATCCCTCGAAGCCTCTGCAGTTCCGTAAGCGGCATGGCTTTTTTGCCGGAGGTGTTTTTTTCTGCGCGGAGGTGTTTTTTTTTCTGCCGAGGAGGTGTTTGTTTCTCTGCTGGGAGGTGTACTTTTTCTAGCCAAAAGCAACTGAAAACTGCACCAAATGGCTCTCCACAGTCGACTTCATTGTTTGCAGAAGGATTTTCTGGAGCAATATCGTGTGCAGCTTGACAATGAACCTTAGAGATGGATACCAGGCAGGCTGGACGAAACTAGCAGAACTATTTGTGAAATTCAAGGCTGCATGACACATTGACATTTTAATGCCACGGCACCTTGGACTAAGCCCTAACCTCTCCTGCAAACGAGAACCCCATTAACTGTCTCATAAACCCAGACTCTAAAACGAGACCCCATTATGATGTAGAGGAATACATTAAACCACACTCTAAATCAAATCGAATCGAACCTATTGATAAGATC